AACTGAATTTACTTGTACAGTTGATACTAATAAAACATTTCTTTGCAGTGAAGAGCTGGTATAATTTCTCCATTCTGATAATGAAAACTGAACAACTTCTCCTATTTCTCTCCTTACATTGCTGTTCAGGAATATTGTTGACAAATTTGGGACCACATGTGGGCTTTACTTTTGTTAACGTTCAAAGGAGCATTATGAAATGAATCAATAAAATTGCTACTACTACTGATTTTCTTCCTCGTAAATATTTCTTATATTTACTGTTTAGATGCTTATATTAGAATAAAAACATGTATCTCTCTTTATTATGAAATATTTTGAAGAGGATTATCAGGTTCTTCTTCATGGAAGACGAATTGGAAAAAACAGAAGTGTTTAAAAAGGAAGATAAGCTACATTGTAATCCCATAGTATGTTGTTAATGTTAGAATTTTAATTATCCTTTCTAGTACCTTCTAAATTTAAATTGAATAGTCAAGTATTTCAGCTATAGTCAGGGTATACTATAGGGAGGCATAAGATCAGCCCTAGACTCAGCCTATAACATGGAGAGTACATTTGGGACTTAACCTGTGCATTAACCCATATGATATGCTACATGGATAGTTATCCAACAGACGTCAGAATATCAGTTGTTTCTACAAAACACCTACATATACTCTGGAGAATGTGAGTGCTTTGAGGCTGGAACTAGGAACCTAATCACCAGAGGTTGGCAGATTTTGTCCTTTCGAAGACAGTTTTACTTCTGGTTATCAGAAAAATGGGTTGTGTTTTAAAGTAAAGGGGGTTTCCAGTGGCTGAAACATTTGAAAGGAGTCCAGATGATTGCTTGGACAAGATAAGGCTGAATTTGACAACTATTAAGACCCTTTCTGATAATGTATCTATAATTGTAATAAAGTGATAATTGGCATCTTTTTATGAACAGTGGCTGAAATTTAGAAGTATTTGAGGAAACTAGGAAGCCTAGTCTGCCATTTAGGACCATTATTATTGGAAATGTTTCCTTGGGATTACAGATTCGTGATACTCTTGACAGTTTGGTACTGTAACCAAGAAGGTGACTTTAGCAGATCAGATATTTGGAAGAAATTTGCAGAGGATCATGAGTTATACTATTCTGGTGTTTGTAAAACTTTTTGTGAAAAAGGCAGCTTTCTATCTGTAATGTTTATTGTAGGGTAGTTAACCCCGAAAATGTCTTTCTGTTACTAGAATTTCTGAAGGATTTTCTCCTTTCTTCTTCTTCTTTTTCGGATATCAACCTCGAGTTGTTTTTTTTTTTTTTTTCTATTCACTTTATACTTAATTTATTAACACTTTTTAATTCTTGGGATGATTTGGCAGTTTGCAACTACAGGGGAGTTCTAAGGACGTGGGGCAGTTTTCTGAAACCAGTAATTCAGGAGACTAGCTCCAGATGGTGCAAATTCCTGCTAGCACCTTGGCACATACTGCTTTCTCTGCTTTCAATGCCACATATATCCTAAGCACCCCATTGCATTGTTTAGCTGAACAAATATATCCATATGTGTACACACATTTTTCTTGATTCTGAGCTCTAATCTTAACAGTGCCACTCATTTAACTGTGTGATCTTGGGAATATTACTACAAATCTCAGAGCCATCATTTCTTTCTAAGTTGAGTGATCTGTTTAATTGTGGCCCAAAGAAACCAAGAATTGACCACGTGCCTGAGTATATCACTTTTCTAGGTATTCTAGGATTCTATTAGGCAACATATCCTTTCATTATAATAAATCTGAAATTCCAGGTGAAGGAATTTACTGTTGTTTGAGGTCGTGTTGATAGACATGTAGCTCCATAGCCTTGTTTCAGATAAGCTGGAGGATGTGGGTGAGTCAATATGCTGGATGGATGTGGGTGGAAAAATCCAACATTTCATGTTATGTCCTGTGCACTAGCCATCATTGTTCTAAGGATCTATGTTTTTCACAAACATTTATTTGAAAATCACTATCCTGGGCACTGGGCTAAATAGTTGGAGATAAAATGATCCATAATATTTTTCTTGCTTTTCAGGATCTAGAATGTATGCTGGGGAAACATGAGTAAAATTTTTTAATAGTATAATTAGTGCTACAGTACTATCCTGTAAACTACGTGCTATGAAAGTACTGAAAGAAAATAATAGATGAGTCTGCTGCATGTTTGTGAGTCAGCTACATAGGTGACATTTGAATGGGGTCTTGTAGGTTGATTGTGAATTTTCTAGATGATAGAGAGGTGGATGGGTGCTTTGGGCAGATAGAACACAGTGATTCCCTCACCACCATCTGTGTAGTAATGGTGACTAAGCTTCTTGCCCATTTGCAGGGCTCTCCCATTCTCTGTGTTTCATTCTCACAACAATCAAGCAACCAAAAACAGAAACCAAAACCAATAACCATAAGAATCTCTAGACAGATGAAATATTGGTAAATATTGCTTGGTTTTTAGTCATCTGTATAAGGTGTAGAATGAAAATCTTCGTCTTTCAGAAAGGAATTACAGAAATTCTATGTGGACTTTGTGGACAATTTAGTAGTGGGATTATTGTACTAAGGATAGTAACTACAAGACAGTGAATCTGATTTAATTGTATTATGGATCTCTGTTTAGAAGGATCATCTATCTTCCAGACAGGTGGAGTATCATGGCATATTGGAAAGAACAGGGCATTTAGAGACTTAATTAGAAAAGTAGCCCTGCCGTTGATTACTTTGACTAGTAACAAAATAAATGAAGATGGAACACCTATGTAGATTATTTGCTTAACTTCAGCCAAAATTAGATGCCGCTACCCTCCCACTGTCATACTGTAGTTAGATTTTGTTAATTTCAATGACACGAAAATTTTAGAACACTAGAAAATGGAGAAGGATCAAAAGTTTGTGTTACCCTTTGTTCTCTGGTAAACGAATTGCTCACGCATTGCTTAAGTGTTCTTTCAGCCTTGAGCCTGAAAGTGAGAAATTTTAGTTATCAGTGATCAGCAACTCAGAGCTATGTTTGCTTTTATGGGGCTCATAATTGGGGTATTTGAGTGAGCATAAGAGAGTGTCTGCTGTCTATAGCCAAGCATCTCTAAGCTCCCTACCTGCCCTGCTGATGGGGGTTGGGGAGGGGGTTGGTTTTGCTAATGGTATTGGTGGTAGTGATACTGATGTCATTTTGTTGATCTCTGTATAAACATTGCTGAGGCTGAGAATGTAGAGGATTTGTCATTAGGATAAGCTCTATTCAGTTTCTCTGAATCCCATTTCTCTTTTACTCAGGTAATTTTATTAGAACTTTTAATAAAGAGAAGAAACTCTAACCGATTAGGGAGACATTTCTTTTGTAGGGCAGCATAAGAGTTTTACAAAATATGTTTATTGTTTCAAAGTGTCATTAATATATCTTAGAGACACGAGTCTAAAATTTAACAGTATCTTCTCCACCCAAGTGGAGGGAAACTTGTGGATGTTGAAAAGAGGGTTAGAGAGAGAGATGAGGGCAAGTGGTAGGTCCCAAAGAGAGATTTCCCTTGAAATTTCTCACTGTAGTCACCACCTAGGGTGTCCCATAGGTTACTTAGGAAACACTGAAAGAATCGGAAGGATGGGGTGATGGGAAGAGGGCGAGAGATGAGAAGGTGCTTAATGGGTACAGTGTACATTATTCAGGTGGTGATTATGGTAAAAGCCCAGACTTCACTACTAGACAGTATATCCATATAACAAAGCTGCACTTGAACCCCTTACGTGTATACAATTAAGGAACTTTTTATTGCTATTTTTTTCGGGTGTAAATATAGGCCATGATTGCTAGAAGTCTCTTTTTGGGAGATAGTGAGGCAAAGTAAACTAGGTCTCTTTTTTATTTGCGTTTTGGGGGACCTGGAAACCACTTTCTGAATACCTGTGCCATCTTTACTAAAAATTACTTTTATCCTTGATTTTAAAGAACTTAATGCACATTTATCTTATTTTAACTAGTATTTCATAATACCCCCTCCCCTTTTTTTTTCCCTGATACTCTAAGCAGAAATATCTGGGGCCAGAAGAGGTGGATTTGATTTCCAGTTCATTTGTTTTATTTATTGGGTAGTCTTGCTCAAGCCGTTTTATTTCTCTTGAGCCTTAGTTTCCTTGTAAATAAAATGGGGATGTTGATAAAGCCTTTATCCTCAGATGGTTAGGAGGAATACATGTGAAAGTGCCTTGTAATCTATGAAGTGCCGTATAAATGTTAGTTGTGGCTGTCTGTTATTACCAGACTTTCACAAGACAAAATGTATCTCTTGAATATCTTTCTTGTTCATAGTAGATGTTTTCGTGTATGTAGAACAAAGGAAAGCAAGCATAATCCCTGCTTTCAAAGCAGAGTATGTAGTCCATTTGCTATTCGTAACATTTACATAAAAAGAATAATTCACAAAATTCTACCATTCTATAAAAGGGAAAACAGACATAGGTGAAAGAAATAGCCTCTTGTTAATGTATTATTAATCCAGGCATTTTTATGTGGGTGGAAGCTTGTAAAGATGAATGATGGCAATTGTAATTTCAGAAAGTCTTAAGATGTAGGTAAAAGAACAAGGGAAGGCGAATGGCTGTTTTTCCACTTCCTTTTTAGGTTATGTAGAATTAGTTGGGATAGCACTGGGAATGTGCACATTATTTGGATAATGTATGAAAGGAATGTGTAGCCACTCACTGAATCAGAAATTTCTGGGTTTGGTTGAAATATGTACTCATTGTGCTTACTTGACTGAAGTGAAAAAAGGAGTTCTTGATAGCAGGAGCACTGTTCACTGTTTAGATTTAGTTAATCTTGTGCATAGCTTTTAAACTTTGGAGCAGAATTTGTTTAGCAAAATGTCCCCCACTAAGTTTTTTTCTCACTGGCGTTGCCAGTATAAATACAAGTTAAGTTCTTGATTCTTGTCCAAAATTTGAGACTGTGTTCATTTAGTGGAAGAGTAAACAAAATTTCTGCTGCCCTTAGGGGTATGCGCGTATGTGGGGGATGTGGCAGGGGTTGGGAGGGGCACTTCTGTTTGTCCCTGAGTAAAAGATAAGGGAATTCTAAAGACTCTTACCCCATCACTTGTCAGTCTGAACCACCTCTTTGAAACAGGCTTTCGAAAGATTATTCTGTTTCTGAGTGAGAAAGAGAAACTTGCTGTAAATGAGCTTTCTAAAATAACAATCTTAAATATGTTTTATGAAAAATGCTCAGTTTACTTATTTCTTTGTTGGTGAAAGCTGAGAAGATCTTAATCTGGTACTGTTAATGCCTAAGGAAAAAAATGTTAAAGACTATTTTAGGCCTCCAAATTTGTTGTCATTTGGGCCAGAATTTTAAGAGACATTCAAATCAATGTTGGTTTGTTTTTTTCTCTTTTCCTTTAAAATGTTGAATTATTAAAGTATACAAATTTTGTCTCTATTTTTCTACTAGTTGCCAATGGTAGGGCAGACGAGGGTGTTACCCGTAGAAGGAGAACGAGTAGTTCTGCATCGAAATTCATGGAAAGCTCCTACAGTCATTGGTAGGGAATGGGGGAGTGGGCTGTGTCTGGAGCTGGAGGGGTGAAGTTGGCAAGCAGATGGACCTGGAAAAAGGTGTGTGAGGAGAAGCAATAAAGCGAAAACAAAAATGAGAGACTTAGGAAGCAAATGCAAAAAGAGAAAAAGAAAAAGTATGAGAGGTCGAATTTGGTTGGCGTGAGGTGGAGCGGGGTGGTGATCACCCGATTTTCCTTGGTACTTTTCAGGTAAGTTGTATACCTGGAATGCCTAGAAAGGAACCAGTTCCTCATGAGGGTGCACCAGGGCTTTCCTATCACATCTCTTGCTGTAATTCCCTTTGGGGCTTCTGTGCCCCAGGCACACACAACTCCAGAATGGCCTGTGGATTTTCATCTTTTTGGCTTTGTCCATAATTGGCCTCTTTGCCAAGAATGTTTACCACTTCTGTCCATAGGAATTTTAACTTACCTTGAGATACATTTGGTGTTAATTACTTTAAGGTTTCTTGATACAAAGTTTCTGGATGCATTCTGTTTAAATCACTCCCACTTCTTACATCTACCCCCAATTCATAACAAGCATAACTGCTCCAGTGTTTATGACTTCAAAGAATTTTCTTTAGTACAACAAATTGTCTTTAGTACAGTGTTTATTAACTTACATTATACTTGTTTTCCTCTCTGATATTTCACCTCATTGATGGCTTGGAGATGACTCATTCATCCTGAAATAGAGTTCAACACATGTTTATTGAGTAAATGAGTGTTTATTAGTTGCATACGATGCCATTCATGTATTTAGGGGGAGATCAACATCTCAATGAAAACCATTCTTTAAGGAAATGGATGGGGGGTGTATATATGTACATATTTATGTATGTCAGCCAGTCATCCTTTCTGTTTCTGAGACCTGCTTGGCCTATTGTAAATTAATTCACCGTATACTAATTTGTGTGTACAGGCATCCCTCATTTTATTGCACTTTGGACAAACTGTGTTTTACAAATTGAAGGTGTGTAGCAAGCATTTCTTAGTAATAGTGTGTTTTTAAATTTAGGTATGTACATAACCTGTTTCGACTGAATTCCGTCGCACATTTAATAGACTATCAATAGATAGACTATAGTGTAAAAATAACTTTTATATGTTCCAGGAAACCAAACAATCATGTGATTCATTTTATTGCGATACTTGCTTTATTGCAGTGGTCTGGAACCAAACCTGCAATATCTCTAAGGTAGGCCTGTATTTAGATTAACATATCATTGAAACTCCTTTAATGAGAATGGGGATAGGGTTCTAGTTTTATGTAGTTTGTTTATTGCTAAATTAGTTTAAATGATATTTGACATATCTTACGTGTGTTATGCTGTCATAATAGCAGAGTTTAATTCTGTTTATGGCATTATTTTCTCCCTTTCTCCTACTCTTGTTTGACTTTATGATCCAGCTTTTTTTTTTTTTTTAAACTTCTTTCGATTAATGAGCACACGTTGTGTGGAAGGTGCAGAGTACACCCACAAAGTCCCTGCCATGAAGAGCTTGCAGCTGGATAGGAAAGCAGCTGTGTGCTCGAATTTCAGAGCAAAGTGCATTTTTTTCTGTTAATGCTCTTCTAAGCAATGAGGCAGAGTTGCACGGCTTTTAATGTTCAAAAGAGACTTAGCCACCATCCGTAACGCTGGGAAAATGGGCAGAGGGGAGAGCCTACAAGACACTTGAGATCTGGGTGGGAACAAAGGAGAATAGTTGTGTAATTGACTATGGCGGGAAGCTCATTTTAGTAGCAGGCTGGGAGTAGTAGGAGACATTGATAGGGTTGGCTTATGGCAAGAAGGTCAGCCTGAGTTCTGGATGAGTGAAAGTAAACATAGGAGGGAAAAAGTTTGAGAAATGGGAAGGTGAAAGGTGGTTCACCTTAAAGGTGCCCACAGGGAAACGTGGGGAGATGAGTTTATGCCGTTTATCCTCAGTGGACTGTTTATACTGTTTACATCAAAGGTAGAGGAGGTTAGAAAAGGAGAAAAGTTCTCTTCAGGCTCTGAGCTTGGCCTGGCTGTGAAATAGTTTCTGTTCTGGTTACCGATTTACAAAGTTGACTGGATATGTGATTGTTTTCCAGGTTGTACTAGAATACTGATGCAGGGAATACAGAGGCAAATCTTGAAAAAAAACTAGAGTGGGTTCAGAAGAAATTATATATTGGGCAAGTAATATTTCAGTATAAATGAGATTATATGTTTGGAAACTCCTAGTAAACTCTGAAGGGCTGAGTCAGTGCATTTGACAGTGCAGCTCTGTGTGTATGTGTTTGTGTACTTCCTCATAATCACTGAAAACCTTCTAGATCCTCTTGACTAGCTCAGGCCCTGCTCTTCTCTTTTGGGTACTAATTCAGCTTCTGCAGATTTAGGGACAAATCACAGTAATAGAATATACTTTAGTCTTGCTGTTTAGATACTAAGAAATCATTATGAGGAGTCAAGGTAATCAGTAATTCGTAAATTTCTCACACCTGTTATAATGCGTCAAGCCATATCTTCATGTTCATTGTTTAGCAATATGTGCTATTGACAACATGAAATTAAGTTAATTTAATATATAACTTAAAATGTAATATTTAAGACATTTAAAAAGCACAGGAAATAGAGAAACCCATGAACCTACTACCCGCATCAGATGTTAATATTTTGCCTTGTTGTTTGTCTTTTCTGTTTTTGCTTTTGAAGCAGTAGAATGGCTTGTGCAGCCAAGGCACTCATGCCCCTTTTCATCTCACTGGAGAGAGAACTACTGTTTGGAGTTAAGTTTGTGTCAGTGCCATATTATTAAAAAATTTTTTTTTTTTACCATAGGTATATCTGTCCACAAACAGTATATTTTAATGTTTAATGTTCTGCTGACTAAAGTTAAGAAATATTTTTAAAATTATTGTACTTCTTCACATGATTCTCCACATGGAAAAATGTAATAATTTCATAATTCTTAATTTTAGTTAGCGTGGTGTTCGAAACATAGAAAATATATTTTTGGCATTAACGTTCTCACCTAATAACGTAAATTGAAGTGGCTTTTAAACTTTTTGTAATCTATAGAATGATGTGTGTTTCACATTTTGACCTAGTACCTATCATCTCTGTGTATTTCTGTGATCTGTATATATGTAATACTGGAAAAGTTTCCCCAAACTAGTTTCCTGTACTGTGTGTGATCTATAATAGTCCCTTGGTATTTGTGGGGTAGGGTGTGGAGTTGGTTCCAAGACCACACATGGATACTAAAAATCTATGGATGCTTCAGTCCTTGGTATAAAATGTGTTAGTATTTGCATATAATTCATACACATTCTACTGTATACTTTACATTGTCTCTAGATTACTTATAATATCTAATACAGTGTAAATGCTATGTAAATAGCTGTTATACACTGTTTCGTTTAGAGAACAATGATAAGAAAAAAAGTGTGTACATGTTCAGTACAGCCACATTTTTTTTTTCCTAAGTATTTTTTATCTGTGGTTGATTGAAACCATGAATCCAAAACTCAGGGCTATGAGGGCCAATTGTCTTCTGTTATTCTCTAGACCATTGACTTTTAAAATGCTTTTCTCAGGCTTAGTAAATTGATTTTTTGACCTGATAATAGGTTGCCACCCATAATTTGAAAATCATTAAGATTAATCGTAAAATTTGACCTAATCATAATCTAAAATTAAGACTGACTTTAATATATAAGCACAAGCGTTTCCGGTATAATAAAGGTGTTTTAAATGATAGGTCAGTGTATTAAAATAACATTCTTCACACAAGATTTGATTATATTTATTGTAGCTGATTCATTAATTTTTATAAATTGAGTCCGTGTTTAAATTGAGTCTATTTAAAAATCAGATATTAATTAATTGAAGTGTTTTAGAGAGTATATACTGGTTAATGTAGAATATTTTCTTTCCATCCATTCTGACCATGGTTTACCTGGAGGGAAGGAGGGCCGTCATTGTGTCAGGGAAGGGGAAAGAGCTCTTGAGCTCTTGCTGGCTTAGACTTTGACGCCAAGCCCTGTCACCAGTGAACTCTGTGCAGCCTTAGAAAATCCCTTCTTCCTTCTGGCTTTCAGTTTCCTCACTTATTAAATGAGGATGCTATCTAGCTCATCTTGAAAGTACTTTTATTCTGTGAAATATAAGGTAACTAGGACCTGGGCTTCAAGATATTAGATTCGTTGAGAATATAGCTGATGAAAAAGAACAGGGCTTTCTATTCGAATTACTGGTTTTGCTGTTACGTTTGAGTGAGGATTAAGCAGGTTGTATTCAGTTTAATGTAGGTCTTGGGCAAGAATTATTCCTCCGTTCAAAACCGTTTCAAAATAATCTTGACCTCCCCAAGATCTCCCTCCCTTGTTGTGGCATTATCCCTCAGTAGTGAAGGACACAATTATGTTGAGTGTATATGTGAATATACGTAAGTGCGAAGAACAGCAAAGGAATGTTCTTCATTCTGTTTCAGTTAAGTGTGCTCATAGGCAAATCCAAAGCTGCAGAAAAAAATCTACCACTTTTCCTAAGCTCTAGGGACTGTTTCATGAGTCCTACTCAATTGCAATAATCTGAGGCTTTGGGGAGTTTCCTTTTTTTTTTTAAACATGAATTACATGCTTGGAATAGAGTGAGAACATATCACTTAAACTACACGTTCTTAAAACAGCAGTTTCCATGATGAATCCTTCATGTTTTGTCTGTTTGTATATTTACGAAGCAGGAGTTTAAATTGCAGCTTGGGGTAAACATGGATGTTTGAGACTTATTTCTTCCCATTTTGCTTCTAAGAAGACAGGTCAGGAAATACCCTTGCCTGGATCTTCAGGTGGAGGCAGAGTTGGGGCGGATTCCTGGTTTCTTTCAGGCTTCCCATTTTCTTTTGGTTTGTAGATTATTTGGGGGCAGCCCAAGGTTTAGAGGGACCTAGAGACCTAGTTCCAACTCGTGTCCCTGGGGATTGACCCACTAAAGAATGTTTAAGAAATTGAGAATTTTTAAAGTAGAACTCTGCCCTACCTGAGGGACTAGTGAAAATATCTTTTTCCTTCAGAGACACCAGGGTGGACATAAATTGCTGGGAGAGGATCGTCTGAACCACAGAGAAGTGTAGGTTAGATTTCTTTTAACACCTCTAATTACGCAGTAACCCACTTCTCTCTCAGTAGCAGTATGCAAAGCATGATTGATACTTCTGTTATTTCAGCAGCACTTACCCTCCTTTTATGGAAGTGGATTGGAATTTCTAGACCTCTGGAATCTGATTCTCTAAGTGTTCTCACCTCAGGCCAGGGGCCAAGGCTAACCAGTGTTTTGTGACACCCTGTGCTTGGCACTAAGCAGGATTTTTGTGACTAAAGACTACATACTTAACTAGTCACTATTTTATGTATTGAGAATTATGAAGTTTGTCATTCTGAAATATTAGAATTGATTTTTTTTTAAAGTAAAAGAAAAGTCCTTCCCTTTGTATGTTAAAGTATTACTAATGAGCCTTCCTGTCTCTTTTTCCTCCTTCATCTTCTGTAGTGTGCCGAGATTTTGCTGTCCTGGAGGACCACACCCTGGCTCACAGCCTGCAGGAACAAGAGAGTGAGTAATACCTCTCATTTCTGCTCCGTCAGTTTTCTTTTTTTAGTGGTAGCTTGAGGCTGGTTTCTTAGGGCTTAGGTAGGGAGAGAGCACAGTCACTTGGCGTCACCACCCGTACATTCTGAAGGATTTCTTTAGGCAAATGATGCCTGAGTGAGCAGTGAAGTTTCGGGCATGTTTAAGTAAGACAGGCTGCCAGGGATTAGTAGACTGCTGCATCTCTAGGAGGAAAAGAGGGGTTTGAACCTTTTTTCTTGCCTTTTGTTGTAGGAGGGACACAATGGTTGTAGATTTATCTGGGGTGCATGTGTAGAAGAATCTATTCTTGCTCCTAGGATAGGGACCTGAAGAGTTTTCCCAGGCAACCATGGTATAAATGAGATCACATTGTGGATTTTTCTGAATCTTTTTTTCCGTGTAGTGATGGAAAGTAAATCTGAGCTATGCATGTTATGTTAAAGTACATATTTGTGAATATATGATTTGTGAATTCACATATAAATACAAAATTAAAGTTTTGAAAAATGCAGTTAATAAATAGAGTGACAACATGTAGTAGTAGAAAGAGCATTAGCCCTGGCTTTAGAATATTCGTGTAGATGTCCTGGCACTGCCACTTTGTTGCCGTGTGACCAAAGGCAAATTATTTAATCTTTTTGATCCTCTTTTTACTTAATGGAAAAGTGGGGATATTAATTTCTTGCTCTTAATTATATATTGTTGTTGAGGCAATAAAACAAAGTGATGGATGCAAAGCTATTGCTGTGGTAAAGCTCTTAAGATTTTTATGGCATTTATTACTAACAAACTAAGGCGTTATTAATTCCTGTCCTCAATCTTCTTGTTCCAGTTGAGCATCATTTGGCATCAAACGTTCAGCGGAACCGTTTGGTCCAGCATGATCTCCAGGTGGCTAAACAGCTCCAAGAGGAAGATCTGAAAGCGCAGGCCCAGCTCCAGAAGCGCTACAAAGACCTGTGAGGATTTGGGAGGTGGGAGGGGTAGTGTCAAGACTGGTTTTCTCTGTGGAGCTAGCAAACAGGGCAGGGGAAAAGGAGCCTACTTCTGTTCCTCTGATTCCTTTTACTGTTAGATTACAGTCTTACAGTAACAGTTTATAGCTAACAGTTTTTTTGATTTGAAAATATTTTGTTGTTGTTGGAACACTTGACCAGGTTTAAGGACATGTGGATGATGGTGTAAATTCTAACATTTTTTTAGCTGTATGACTTTGGGCCAGTTAGTTAACTTCTCTGAATTTATTTTCCAATTTATTTTCCTTCCCCATAACGTGGGGAAAATAATCTCTGTCCCCTCTGTCGCGTAGTTTCTATGGGGAGTCCAGTGAAAGAGTGGACATCAAAGAACTTTGTGGGTTGTGTTGGTTCCTTTACTGTGTTCTAGCTGTGTTTGCTGCTCTTACTTTCCTTGCTTTTCAGTACATGACAGAATGTTCTGAAAAGCTCTGAAGTGTAGACTCAGTTATCTTCATAACTTCAGTGTCTGACAAAAGTTCTCTCTAGTAGCCTCGTTTAACAGACAGATAAACGGAAGTGATTATTTCTCAGGTTTCTTGTGGCACGGTGACTTTTATACTGTTTCAGTGTTATAAAGCTCCCAGGATACATTTCTTGTTTGAGAGTGGCTCTTACATCCTAAATCTTTCATGTGGGTAGATTCAACCACAGATACTGTGTTGAGGAGGAAGGGGTAAAGGAAAAATGGAAGGAACCCCTTAATTTAGTTTAGTGCCATATTCAGGTAAAAAGGGAAAGCCAGTCATTTTTGCTAACTTATAGGAAGGGTTTGCCCTTCTGTTTATTATTTGTAGAGAGGACTTTATTAATCATTTCGTTAAGCTTCCTTGCTTTGTAAATAAACACTTTTATTGATTCATGCTAAATCTGGCACCATGAAAGGAGACCAGAGATATGAATAAGACAGCCGTTACCTTTAAGGGCCTCAGGAAAACACCTTGAGCATTATATATCTAGAGATACATGCCTGAGTCACAGATAATTGAAATGTAAATTTCATGCCTATTTAGAGAGAAGAGACTGGGAAAAGCTTCACAAGACAGATGATATGTTTAATCTGAAACTTGAAGGTTAATTAGAAGTTTATAGTGATGGGGAAATCCATTCTAGCCAGGAGGAGCAGCATGCATAAGGGCAGGAGGTAAAAGGACTTGGAATCTCATGTTAACTGCAAGAAGTTCAGTATTGCTGGAGTGGAGAGTGTATTTACGGGCAGAAGTAGGAAGTGAGGCCAGAAAAGTAGTCAAAAGCTGGATCATAAAGGTCACGATAAGTTATGTTAAAGATTTCAGGTTTTGTAGAGTTTAAATTATAAGGAATGGAGAACCATTGAAGTAGTTTTAGATTTCCATTTTGGGATCTTATTCTGGAGAGTAGGTGGGTAAAGGCTTGGAGTGGGCAAGATTTGAAGACAGCTATTGTGAGCAATGGTAAAATTAAGAGATGATGAGGCTTGAATGAAGACTGGTGGTAGTGGTGGTAGTGAAGGTCATGGTAATGGAGATAAAAGAGGAAGAGAGATATTTGAGATGTTACGAGGCTCAGTGTCACAGGTTAAGGTGAGAGCCAAAGCTAGAATGTCCTAGAGTTCTAAATTCATTGCCCTTTACGTTATTCACTTTTCTCTGTTAGAAAGGCCAGTTCTGAGGTTGATGCAGATGTTTAAAATCCTGAATTAGGTTAATAACAGTATAATGAGCTTATTCAGAAATTATTAAGACAAATCACTCAAATACAAATCAGCAGTAGAGAGTAATATTTTATATGTCCTAAATGAGAGAAGAAGCAGGTATTATATTTCTGCCTGAGACTTCAAGGTTTTAGAATTGTTCCTGGATGAAATAAGTAAGCTGGAAGGGAAGACTTTCAGTTCACTCCCTGCAATTTGGAGAGCTGGACCTCTCAGGAAGGATGAAATGCTGCCGTTCTCATTGAACTGGAACCATTTATTCAGTCTGGATACCGGGGCTACTGTCCCAGGTCAGGATTGTTGCTTGCTTACTGCTGCTTTCTCCGTTGCGCTTTCCCAGGAGTCTGTATAATTAGCTGACTGAACCAGAGCTGGTGCTTCTTGGAAATACGGTTTGAAGTCATTAAGCTCAGATGAAACTTCACTTACTTATTTTCTGTACCAGAAGGTACATCTTCTGTGTCACTTGTGACCTTTAACACTTCATTTGGGTTTGCCTTCTCTGCGGTGCTTCTCCTTTCTTCCCACTTACTATCACATCCAATGTAGTTATTAGTCACTTAATTCTATACAGATTTTACATTAATTTGGGAGTTTCAGGTAGATGCTTGAATGAAGAGAGATAGAGGCCTTTGAAAACTTAAGTCCATGATTTTGTGTATGATTCTTAATTATTATAATGAGTGAATAAAGAGAAATACAGGAATTGCTCTGAGTAGATTTTCATTTATTTTCATTTCTTTGGTTTGAATAGATAAGAATAGTATGATATTAGACTTATAATGTGAAGTTACTAAGTGTAAACTTTTATAGCTTATAAAATGGCATGACAGAATGATTTGTGGTTATTAGTGGTAGAGGCAGGACCGAGAACAGGCCCCAGTGGGGTGAAGTGATATGGTGGTATAGAAGAGGCATGGAGTTTTCCATTGTTGGGTGTGATGATGAGATTCCAGTTCTACCACATATTTTCGTTGTGATCTTGAGAAAATGATTTAACTTCCCTGGGCCTTAGTTTTCTCATCTGTAAATGTGACTGTGTGAGCCTCTTTGCATCTTTATCTTGAAGATAAAGTGAGAAAAATAATGTACTTCTCATATAGTGAGTATTCAATAAATTGTATTTATTATTTTTAGGAAATACATTATTTTTTATTTTCCTTATTCATGTTTTCACCTTTGCTTTTTAGTGAACAACAAGACTGTGAAATTGCTCAGGAAATTCAGGAGAAGCTGGCTATTGAGGCAGAGAGACGACGCATTCAGGAGAAGAAGGATGAGGTATAACTTAGTTACTGCCCCTCTCCCTCATGGAGAAAGGGGTGCTCAGCTTTAGAGCAAAAACTTTCTGTAGTCACGGGCTCAATGAAGGTTGCTGAATGGGAAGCAGAATGCCTCTTATTTGGGCTGCATTTTCCTCTGTGGACCATGGTTTATACCCTCTTGACTATGTAAGTGGTAAAAGTCTTGAGAGATAATGATAATTTCACATATGATATGAGTTAATTTCCTATGACTGCTGTTACAGATTACTCCTGCAAACTTGGCTTAACAGAAATTTACTGTCTTAGAGTTCTGGAGGCTAGAAGTCTAAAATCTGAAGTGTTGGCAGGGTCACGGTACCTCTTGGGAAGGATCCTTCCTTGCCTCTTCCTAGCTCTTGACTCCTGGCAATCTTTGGCATTCCTTGGCTTGTATCTGCATCACTTCAGTCTCTGCCTCTATTGTCACATGACTTTCTTCTCTGTCTGTATCTTTGTGTCTTCCTGTCTTCCTAGAAGGACATCAGTCATTGGATTGAGGACCCACCCTAATTCAGTATGACATCAGCTAAACTAATTACATCTGCAAAGACCGTTTCCAAATAAGGTCCCATTTTGAGGTTTGGGTAGAAATGAATTTGGAGTGGGCACACTGTTCAGCTTACTATAAGGCGTCTGCCCCTGGGTGGTTTTTGCAGCATTAGAGAGAGCCGACTTTTGAGTGGAGCCTGCGCAGGATGCAGGGAGTAGTCCTTGGGAGAGGCCAGGAGCAGGCATTGCTCTCATTCTTTCTCTTTTTCTTAAAGGTTTCACTTTCCTGTGATCCATTGGTAAAAAAGACTAATCAGTTTGATTCTCTATATATATTTAAGTCCTATTGTTTAAAGGCTGAAAATGACTAAAATTACTAATAGTGTTTGGTTTGTGAGAAGACTTGAATTTACCGTTAGCTATTATTTCCATTTGTGTTATATTTTCAGCACTTCTTTTTTTTTTTTTTTTTGAGATAGCGTTTTGCTCTATCACCCACGGTGGAGTGCAGTGGTGTGATCTTACTGCAGTCTCCACCTCCCAGGCTTAAGTGGTCCTCTCGCCTCTTGATTAGCTGGGACTGCAGGCACACGCCCCCACACTTGGCTAATATTTTTAAATTATTTTTTTGTAGAGACGAGGTCTCACTGTATTGCCCAGGCTGGTTTCAAACTCCTAAGCTCACGCTATCTTCCTGCCTCAGCCTCCCAAAGCACTGGAATTCCTGGCATGAGCCACTGTGCCCAGCTTAGTTTCAGCACTTCTTATGAACAATTTATTTCATTTTACATCATTCCTATGCTACCTGCTTTCACACCTGTTATGCTGTACTTGGTCACTGTCTTGATTTATAATAAAGAAGAAAATGATTTATTATTTTTAATAGTTGGATGACGGTATGGTTTGTTATGCACCCAGAAACACTTTTGAGGGTTATAAGCATGGTGTTAGTAATTACATAAACTGAAACTGTACTGCGCAAACCGGCATTTATGATCATCCTGTTAAATAGATAGGATCGGGGTCATCAGTAGACAGCCTACATACACTGCTGCTCCTACTGAGCCACTCCTGTTCCTGGGGGACTTCTTGTTCAATGCCAGATGAATGTGAGACACCTGGTATGAGTGTAGTGAGTTGTTTCTTACAGAAACAAATCATGATCGCATGATAATCAGAACTGCAAGTAAAAATTAGGGATTATTTTTGATACTTCCTGTAATACACAGGAGGCTCTTTCTTAGTATTCAATGTGTTGCCTCTTTATAGTGAAGACTTTGCTTTGGGGATGACACTGGGAACTAAAAGAAGTGATTGTATTTTGTAGACAGGAACGCTTCTATTTAAAAAATACCAGAGTAATGAAGTTGGCTTCTTATAAATGCTACTGCTGTCCTGTGGGTTTTTTTTCCTCCATTTAGGGAAAAACAGGATAGAAAGAGAAAATAAAACACTTTATTTAAATTATGTAGAATCTAAACAGTAATCACAGTAAGTAGTCTCTTGGTAATACTATATAAAGTAAGCAGTTCAGCGATTAACTCCAGTTTCAAGATGTAGAAATTAAGTATTAAAGAAGTAAGTGACTGATTCCAAGTTATAAAATGCCAGAGAAATGTCTGTACAATTCAGGTCTCCTGACTGCTTCTGACTTAGACGTACTGTGGCATACATGAAACATGTGGACTTTGGAGTTACACTCACCTGGGTTTGGATTTTAGCTCATTAACTGTTTAGCTGTGTGATTTTCAGCATCGCACCTAACCACGCAGAACCTCCGGTTCCGAAATGGGTTGACTCACCGTAGTTGTGCATACCCTAAAGGGCTGTTGTGAGGTAAATGAGTTGAGGCACTTCGCGCACCTGGTGCATGTTAAATTTATAATTGCCCTTTCCTTGATTCTGTTATAGAGAGAGAGGTGCTGCATAGGGCGGAATTCAGCATGCTTCAGTGTGTTTCAGTATGGTGTGCTTTGAGAGGTCCTCAAGCGTTCACACACTTGTCTTTACAGGTCTCCCACTAGCTTGCCCTCAGAAGAGTGGAAAAGTTAAATGAGAAATCCGGTTGTGTAGGTGTGTTGACTAGACAAGCCTATATAAACTTCATTCAGACTTTTTGACTTTTTAACTCATAGCTCAGATGAGAAGATGGCTACTGTGCCGAGGTGGTCTTTTATCATAGAAAATTGTGACTCTCAGCTGACTAGTATGTTGTCAATATTAAATGAAGAAAATTTGCATGAGTTAAGTTTGTCATTGTGAGATATATGAAAATGCTTGTTTATTTTAGTCTGTTGGTAACAGGGTGCCTGAAAGGGAGAGGAAACTAATACTGAGACAGTAGTGCTAATTCTTCTGGCCAATTTTTGAAAAAGAATTGCTTGTTACTCATGAACTCTCTTAGTTCCTTTTTTTTCTTTTAAGACGGAGTCTTGCTCTGTCTCCAGCCTGGAGTACAGTGGTGCAATCACCGCTCACTGCAACCTCTGCCTCCCGGGTTCAAGCGATTCCTGTGCCTCAGCCTCCCAAGTAGCTGAGACTACAGGCGCCCGCCACCATGTCTGGCTAATGTTTTGTATTTCAGTAGAGATGGGGTTTCATCATGTTGGCCAGGATGGTCTCGATCTCCTGACCTTGTAATTCACCCATCTCAACCTCCCAAAGTGCTGGGATTACAGGTACAAGCCACTGCACCCGGCCTCCTCTTTTTTTTCTTCTCTTTTCCCCTCAATGCTCTTCTGCTTCCCCGTAGAGTCTGCTTGGTTAATAAGGATTTATTCAGCAGCAGGGCTGTGGAAAATCTCTCTCTGGGTTTCCACCCAAATCTCTTATAGAGATTTTTGGGGTCAGTTTTCCTGGGTAGTTAACACCCCAAAAAATACCAGATGTAGAGACTGAGAACCTTTTTCTCTTGGAACAGAGATTTTTTTTTTTTTTAATTTTTTATGAACAACATTGTGTGTAAGAGGTAGTGGAGTTATACAACCTTGCATGTGTAAATTAGCATTTCTAGCTTTGTCATAGTATAATTTTATTGTGTTTGTTAACAAAGCACAGATGTAAGGAAAGTGGCATTTCCATGCAGGAGACTGATGTGGAAAAGTTAAAAAAAAAAAATTTTTTTTTTTTTTTTTTTTTGGTCTTTCCTCACCTTCCTCACCTTGCCTCCCCTCCCCTTCCCTCCCCTCGTTCCTCTTCTTCACTTTCTTGCTCTCTCACTCTGTCTTGCTCTTCTGTCTCTGTTTATTTATTTTTAGCTCTTTTACATAGTTTCTCGAGTTTAGTAGTTCTCTCTAGGCTTCCTATTGGAAGGAGCTTGTTGACTTTGGGTATACTGGACGCTATGAATTGGTGGTTAATAAAAATGGGTTAAGGTTAATCAGTTAATTTAACTTAGTTATTCTTAAATAAAACTCTAAAAGTGTGTGTGTACCTATGTGCATGACTAGATGTGTGTGTGTGTGCGCGCATTTAAACTTAGGTTTAAAATATATGTGAATTTGCAGCTATTTTAGGGAAAAACTTTTTTTTCCCTTAAATAAATATTAGCATGGCCAAACATGTCATGAAAAGTTTGTGGCACTAGTTTAACTATTTGAAGCCCTTTATAAAAGCAGAAACTGCTCAGGGTAAGCCTAGTAACCAATTCACATTAAAAAATGAATCTAGTATGAACCGTGGTACTTACACATAGCACTCTTAGATTAGAATTTCATGTTCCAAAAGAATATTTACACATTATTTGGTAACATTTAGAGGCTAGATCAAACAATACCATTCAGCTATTAAAAATTTTCCTGTGTTGTAAGTATTGTAAAAATAAATTTATATATATATATATATGACTAGAAAGGGAGATGGGAGAGAGATGGGAGGCTTCTTGTTGAGGTCTTCCTCTCTTCTTATTATACTGATGTTTTTACATCCATAGAATTGATATTTTCCTGTTTTATCGAACAACCCTTTTGGATTTATACCTGCCTTGACATCCCTACCGAGTTAGATGTTAATTGCTAGTTAATAAGTTTAGCAATTAAATGGAATGATTTTCTTTTTCTTTCTGACAGTCATTTGATAGTCACATTTTTAAATCACCTTAGATTGTTTTTAAATTCCAGATTTCCTCTTTTTGAAATGCACTGCCATTGGAGGATAGAGGTGAAACGTTGAGAAGTAACCCTCTATCCCTTATATATGTATATGATATAATCCTCTATCCCTTATGTGTTTATATGATATAACCCTCTATCCCTTATATATTTATATGATATAACTCTCTATCCCTTATATATGTATATGATATAACTCTATTCCTTATGTATTTATATGATATAACCCTCTATCCCTTATATATGTATATGATAAAACCCTCTATCCGTTATATATTTATATGTTATAACTCTCTATCCCTTATATATTTATATGATATAAATCGTATACAAGTTGAGCATCCAAAAATCCAAAATCTAAAATGTTGCAATGAACATTTTCTTTGAACATCATGTCTGTGCTTCAGAAAGTTTCAGATTTTGGAGCATTTCAGATTTTGGATTTTTGGATTAGGGATGCTCAACTTGTAAATGACAAAAATACCCCAAGGAACCCAACACCGTGTTTCAGTTACTTGTCATCTACTTGGGAAAGATGTGTGGGGATCCTCTGGGTGCCACTGCACCTTGTTTATATTAATGCTTCTCTTAAAGCCATGTTTTCACGTCTTACATTATGCTAATTGTTTTACCGCAAGATAAGAACTTTAAGAATATTTACCATATATACCAATCCCCTAGTGCTCATAGCACTGTTCTTTAAAGCTAAAGAGTTTGGCACAGGGCACATGTCTGGTCTACTGAAGGGAATCACTACATCTGTGTTTTCATTAAAATTACCTTTCTCTAGTATTCTAGAGATCCTTAACTGTTTCCTTCCTTATGGTTATAGTTTCAAATTTTCCAGAGTTAGCTGAGCTTGGGTAACAGAAGGGAGAGGTGAGATACAATGGTAAACTCCCATTTCAATTAATGTGTTTACTAGGAAGTCTTCTATCGAACAAGGTTATTTTTACATATCAGCCCAGAAGTCTATCTCATTAATTAAAATATAACTAAAAATGACTTTAAAAGAGCCTAAGAGTTCATTTAGATTTGTTTTCCCAAGTTATGTAGAACATTAATTATCTGAATTTTTTAAAAATGTGAACAGAAGCTTCTGTCATACATTTGGAAAATTACAGGTTACTGGAAGATAACAGGTGTTTTTTTTTTTTTTCTTTTAAAGTTTTAAAATTTGCTAATATGCATCTTGAAGAGTTAGATATGCTGCATGCTTTCTGTTGAAAGTTGTGGTTTTTTTTTTTTTTGGATAAAGTTTTGAGGCCAGTGTTCTCAGGAACAGGCTTGGAAAGTGCTCTTCTAGACTTACCATTAACAGGAAGGAAGCTGAGGACCAAGGAGATTGTTTATATCAAAGGTGACTAAGCTGGTTAGCTACATCCAAGTACTGTGACTGATAATTGCCATCTTCAGCTTGTTGCAGGGGGATTTACTTTATATTGAAATTATCTAACAAAACTCATTGCATAGTAATGTTGGAAAGCAGGGAGGAGAGCGGACTTGTGCTAAACCTCAGCTATAGTATAGTGGCAGTTTTCCATTGAATTTTTGTCCTTTCTTTCCTCAAGCCTAGCAGACCTTTTCTTTCAGAAAAGAGCTGAGAGCTTAGAAGAGCAAAAAAGTTTGGGTGCTAAGGTGCATGACATATTATGATTATTATTTTTTTGACTTGATTAAAAGCACTTTCTTTGACTAATGCATTATAAAGAAGGGGCATAATTCTTTTTTTCTCTCCTGGTTCTTTACACTGAGAGAGTGGCATATTACTATGCGTCCATTAGGACTAAATTCAGTAGCAGGAGGGCAGTTATAAGCAATTATATGAATAGAACTCTGAATTTCTGAGACTTTGATAGAAAAACTATCCCCTAAATCTGAATGTTAAAATGAATCTCTTCTCTTACAGCTCAAGTTAGACGTGATTTTAAGAGACACTGGGAGATAAATAGTCACTACTAATACCAATTTTGGGGGGAACTTCAATTCTTTATCTGTACAATGGAAAGTGTGAACTATTCAATCTTAAAGCCAAATGTCTTTGACTCCTTAATTTATCATTTTAATAAAGCTGTGTCTACCAGGTCCGTGGAGCGTAGTTTATAATTTTTGCTGGAAGTTGGACCTGGTAATTTTCCTTTATGTTTTCCTCAGTTATAGTGGGGGAAATATTTGTTTACTGTAAAGCAGAACACTTAGGAAAATATAGTTCTGGTTGCTTAGTAAACATACAGCTCAAGGAAATGTTTACATTTCTTTCTACTTCTGTAGTAAACATTATAGAAATTTGGAAAATTCTTCTGTAACAAATAGTTTTTTGGAGAATAGGGTATCTGTCCTTTTCCTCTCTTCCTGATTGATACATTACTTTGTAAGATATTAAAGCTAAAGAATCTGGCACAGGGATTGGCACCTGGTAGACATAGTTGTTAAAATGATACATTAGGGAGTCAAAGATATTTGGCTTTTTTTAAGATTGAATAGTTCAGACTTTTCGTTGTACAGATAAAGAATTGAAGTTCCCCTCAAATTCATATTAGTAGTGACTATTTCTTTCCCAGTGCCTCTTTAAGCCATGTCTAACTTGAACTGGAAAAGAGATTAATTTTAACTTCCAGATTTAGGAGATAGTTTTTCCATCAGTCTTAGAAATTCAGAGTTCTATTCATGAAAAGTATACTTGTGTTAAGTAGGATTATGTTATCTTTCACCTCTCACTCTGAGTTGCAACATTTTGTGAGTGCCCACTTAAGTGTCTGACACTGTTGCATGGGCGTTTACATAGATTACTTACCAAAAAGTATGTATATATGTGTCAGTTACAAGTGTTTTAATGGTACATTTTAAGTTTGTATTTGGCATAAAGTCAGATTTGTAAGGCTATTTGGATGAATAGTTAAAAAAACAGCTGAGGATATGGATAAATATTGCTAACTACCTAGACTGAGCATCCAGCTTGTTTCTGCATAGATGTGAAAAGAATTAATTCACTTAAATTTTTTTAAACTGTATATTGCCATCTTAATGTATTTTTCATTTGCACCTATTCATGAAATTTGAAGAATAGTAATTCTTGCTTTAAATGAACGTTAACGTTAACATTTAGTACTTCTTGTTTCCTTATTGATAAATATAAAGAAGTAAGTACCTCAAACTACCAATGATTGTTTTTACCATTTGTCCCAGTGAGTATCGTTCCCATATTTGTATGAGCCTTTAAGAATCTGATGATAGCTATAGACTTCTCTCCTTAAAAGTGTGCATGAGCTTATAAGTTTATAGGCTATTTTATGGGGCTTTCACAGAAATAATCTTCAGATTCAGAACGTTGTCACACTGCAGCTCAAAACCTTTAGTAATCCTTCATCCCCTATGTTACAGACACCAGACTTCTTAAGATTGTCTAAAAGGAATTCCTGTGATCCAGCCTTAGACTGTTTTTCTAGCCTCAGCTTTTTCTGCAGCACTCCGTATCTCATGTTCTAATTGAACTATTGGCTCTTCCTTAGATAGGTGCCCATTAAAATGTTCACAGCTTTGCTGACGTTTCCTGTTTCGACTTTGCTTGTTGGAATTCAGTTCTCTGTTCAAAGGTGAACACAATGCAGAATCTTGTACTGATTCCTTTAAGCAAAAATCGTATTCCCTCTTTTGTATTCCCATGGACATTTTTTTGAGGCATTTACAATTTAATTTTATTGTAGTTATTTATTTATTTAAAAGTTTCTATGAAACTTTTGTTTTCATAAAAGGATGATGATCTTTTACGGAACATTTCGGAATGTTATTCATCATTCTGTGCCTCACAGTGCCTCTCAATAACTACTAAAAATTTGCCTGGGGATGAACAGGTGGGAGACAGAAGGAAGATTGTTTTCTCTTTTTCAGTTAAGACAGTGGTATTCTAATGCAAAGTGAAATCAAAATCCCCGTAAGAGTTCTTTTCAATAGTTTTTAAATTAAATTATAATTATAAAGTTTTGTAGATTACTACATCCTGCCCCATCTAGACTTACTGAATCATCAGCTTGAAAAAAGGACCCACAAATATGTGTTTTTAAAATTCTGTTGCGTAACTTGCTTTAGGAAGTACTGAGTTTTGAATGTCTTTATATTGTGTTAGATTTAAATTTCAATTAAAAAAAGCCTGTCTCACTTATCTAGATCATGTGCTACTCCTGTTGAGCAATCATCTGGCGTTTGAAGATGTGAAATTAATGCCAGAAAGTCTAGAGAGCCATGGACAGAGCACATACAAACTTGGCAGTGGAATGTCACGCCCCACTGTATGAAGTTTGTTTGTTCTTTGGTAATGCATGTTTCCATTCTCTCTTGTCTTTGCAGGACATAGCTCGCCTTTTGCAAGAGAAGGAGTTACAGGAAGAAAAAAAGAGAAAGAAACACTTTCCAGAGTTCCCAGCAACCCGTGCTTATACAGATAGTTACTATTATGAAGATGGAGGTAACAATTCCTGCATCATGATCTATTCTATCCTTAGACTCGACCATCAAACACTCCTTTAATTTTGTTCATGAAGTGACCTTAGGGATCTGGGAATGTTTCTCTTATCCCCCGGCACTGGGTACATTTAGATATGTGGCAGAATTCTATTTGAATCTCATAAATTCATGTTTTGTTTTGCTTTGTTTTGTTTTGTTTTTGTTTTGTTTTTGAGATGGAGTCTTGCTCTCTCACCCAGGCTGGAGTGCAGTGGTGCTATCTCAGCTCACTGCAACCTCCGCCTCCGAGGCTCAAGCAGTTCTGCCCTCTCAGCCTTCCAAGTAGCTAGAATTACAGGCATGTACTTCCACGCCTGGCTAATTTTTGTATTTTTAGTAGAGACGAGGTTTCACCATGTTGGCCAGGCTGGCCTTGAACTCCTGACCTCAAGTAATCCGCCCACATCAGCTTCCCAAAGTGCTGGGATTACAGATGTGAACCACTGCGCCTGGCCTTATCTGTTCTTTAGTTGGACAACCAGAGCCACTTTCATGACTGCTCAAATTTGAATATGATTTTGTAAGAATTGGCATGCATTCTTTTAAACTTCAGCAACTTGGAATGCTTTATTATAATCTAAGCACATAAATGGGGTGTGGAAAATGGTGGATGAGTCTCTGGACTTAACCTTTCTCAAGAAGTCTGGGCAGTACTGTTTGAAGCAGGAAAGTGGTATGAAGAAAGAAGGTATACCATGCATCAGTTACTGGGTAACAAAGCTTTGTTCTGTGCTTTCTTGTCTTTTAAACCTAGGCCAATGGTTTAGCCTGCTGATGACAAACAATATTAAATTTTAAGATTTCCGTGTTCATTGTTCTTCTTTTAATCCTTTCTTTGCTATTTGATTACCGTATAGTATGATTTCTGAGGGAGTGATTCCCACAGTTTCGCCTCTCTGGTGCCTGCTTTGCAGTGTGGTGGTGGTGATGGTGTGGTGGTGGCAGTTGTGGTGGTGATTATTTGTCTTAAAAATGTGTTGGGAAATGAGTATTTGCAAGTATTGTTGAGTCCTTTTCAAAGACCTGTCAAAGCAGAGACGTTCCTATAGTTTCAAGTGTCAGTATTTAATGAAATTCAGCTTGAGGACCAATACTTAGGATCGCAAGTGAACAAAACCTAAAGGCAGCTTTTAGAGAGGAAGGAATTTAAGGTCAGTGATCCTAAAGGGCCTTGCAAACCAGTCATCAACTGCTTTTCTGTAATTCCATTATGAAAGGTAAGTATGTGTTTCTCTGATGAGTAGAATGAAAGCAATGTATATGTAGGTGATGGGATTATTATAGTTTGAGTGTAATTTTGCCCAGTACCATTTTTTGCTCTAAATTTACCATAATCAGTAGAGCTCAGCCTTTTTAGTCAGCAGGCTGATTCTCAATTTATTGCTTGATGTGTTCTTCCTCTGTGTGTAAAACACTCATCTCTTTTTTGATAGCCATTTTCTTTTTGCTGGTTTTTCTGATGAATCTATATGTTATGTCATTTAAAAAGAAAACTTACTGCAACATTTTGCTGTACTAAAGATCAGAAAGTAAAGTGTTACTCTTCACCTTCAATTTAAATCTTAGAAATGTGGTCCGGTGTTTTTCTCTTTTTTAAAAATTCTGCTTTGGAGGTGTATTCACTGTAAACATTATTATTTTAAACTGTTCAGTCTACAAAAGCATAAGGATGACAAGGAATTAAATAAAGTATTAATTTTAGGATTCCCCTCTTAAAGCCTTATACTGACTTGAATTGAGATCAAACCTGTCTTTTTGATCAGAGTACTGTCATCCCGATTTGTTTCTTTAGGGCAGGATACTATGTTAAGAATTCATTGGTTTTTCAGGGACACATAAAAGCTTTTAAAAGTATTCTATATTTATTTTCATTACTCTGATAAATTTGTAGAGAGTAGCATATATGCTTGTTTCTTTGGGGAGAGAGAGACTTTGAGGGACTATTGAGGAACAGGAAGTGGTGACCTCCTGAACATGTGCATGTAAATACTCAAATTTCTCTTGCCTCAGCTGTGGTGTTGGGAGATTATATATTGTTGAACATAGAGTCCTTATGAATATACCCTTGTGTTAGACCAAGTTCAGTTCCACAGAAACCATATTACAATTCAGCTCTTATTTACAAAACAGTCCTTCAGTTCTTTGCAGTGGTCCTTTTCCAACACATCTGGGATATTCTTTCATTATACTTCTCTGTGTGTCTTTGTATATCTATTTGATTTTTTGCCTCACTTGCATAGTAATCACAGTATATCATTACAGAAATGGTCGATTTTTCAACTTTTATTTAACTCAAACTTTAATACATTATCTGTTAGAATGATTATTTATAGATTTTCTACAAATTTAAAATTGTATTAAACATTTGTCAAATTTATATCAACTCTTAAATGACATATATTATTTATTAGTGAATCCATGTTTTTCTTTCAAAGCCTCTTACTGAAGTCATATTAGTGATTTTTTTTTTTTTTAAAGTCATGGTCTTTGGAGTCATAAGACTGTGGTTCAAGTCCTATCCCCTCCTTAGAACAATATTAATTTTAATGAAGTTATGTACTAAATAAAATGGAGATTATAAAAGTAAATCCTTCATTTGCATGTTAAGAAGATCAAATAATGCAATTTTGGTAAAGTACTTATCGTTTATACATATATCAGTGTTATATGTGTATAATGTAATATTTGGTATATCTCTCTTGTTTTGAAAGCCAAACATGGAGGCACACATATAAAATGCAGATCTATATGTGTATAAATATATGTGTGTGTGTGTATATATGTATTATGTATATGCCAATACATAATACCTATATATGTTTTGGCAGTGAGGGAGTAAGTTATATTTGCCAAATAACTTGGTCTCAAGAAACAAGTCTCAGTCCTCAGCTGGATGCGGTTTTAAAGCATTCAGATGGATTCCTCACCTCATCTTTTTCTTTCCAAGATTTAAAGCTGTCACAACAAATTTATTATTAGAGAATAAATTTTTTCCAGTCAGCTCTGTAAAAATGTAGTAACAGCTCTGTAATAATTCTGCAACTTATTTCCTAAAAGTAAAACTATGAATATCAATTAACTATTTAGAAGGAATTAAAAATCATAACATCACAAATTCATGTCAAAACCCATTTCTTTTTGTTTCTTTTGAGCTGGAAGGTAGGCTTCACTTGTGCAACTCGTGAGTGAGCCCATTTGTATTAACACTGTAAACCATTGTTCCCTGGATGTGGTCATTAAGTAGCTGGTCTGTATTATATAACTTTACAGCAGTAGTCACTTGATTCTCATGTTGTCATGATAGACTTAAAATAATAGTTTATTTAAAAGAGCAGGTAATTTTTTTTTATCACTGGGTAATTCTTCTGTTTTGCTTTTGATTTTATGTAAAATATAAACTTAACCATAAATGATGAAGATAAATACTTGTACAGACTGTTTAGAAAACAGATTTTAATTTAGTATTGTCTTTGGAAGCAAGCTTTCTTTTCTTCTGGAAAGCTCAAGAGGAAACAATTTGAGGTTTTTAATGGAAATTTACATCATTGGTACATTTAGCACATATCTCTTTCTTGCTGTATTCCTTTAACAGATTAATATCAAATGAAACAGTTTAAAGGAAAACATATAGTTTTTTACTTTCTTTGTATCTCATCAACTTACGGCAGCTCTTTGATGCAGTTCAGCGAGTGGTTAATGCCATCACGAAATCTTAGCTATCAGAGCAATTTTCCATGGAATTGGGATTTTATTTATTTCCGAAACGTAGTAAAAGTTTTAGAAAATGTTAAATCAGTATATTCTTGTAAAGTGCATATGAATTTGCTGCCTTTGTTTTCACATTATACTTGTGCCTAAAAACGACCTGAAAAAGCACTATATTTGTGCTGTTTTTGAAGTTTATGTTAAATTTGGGGACATATACTTAGCATATATTGTATTTTTATACAAATAATACAGTTTTTTGAAATGTATTTAGGAAGCAACTCCTTTTTATATATTCCATCAAAGCAACCCTTTGAATTTTTTTCCTTTGCCAAGTTTCAACTAAGATTGATAACAGTTATCTAAAGATAACAGGGTCACGTACTCACTTAAAATTCTCATCTACTTGACCCTCTTTTACGTTGAACTGTAATAGAGGGCTATTTTCTGAAGTGATTGGGTATGTTTGCTTTGGCCACATAAAGTGGACAGATGGAGGAGTATAAAAATCTGTGGATCATTCCTCTGAACTCAAGAGAAACTAGCAATATTCTGATACAGTTTATTGACATTTCCAGTAAGAATATTTGAAAGCCTCTGTCTGAAATTACAAAGCTTAATTTTTTTGTTTTACAAGATTTCTCAACCTCTTTTTACTCTATATTAGTTTCAAATTGGTTTATAAATAGAACTTAATGTTTAATGGCTATAATTTTGTTATTGGCAAATATTAAAGTGTTGTTAGCTCTACCTAATCATGATCAAGCTCTTCTTTCACATTTGTTTCACTTAATCTTAGTTTCTTACCATTTTGACTATATACCCAGAATTCTTTAGGTATGCATGAACTGTTTCAGTAATGCTCATCCCCTCTTCTCAATTTGTTAAGTTGGAAAAGCAGTTTTCTCCATTTTTAAAGTACCTTAAACTGGGGCCCAGACTCTCCCCTGTGTAATGAGTTCATACTCTCATTAAATTAATCTGCATTTTTATTTTTCACATCCCTCTGCCTCCACTCAGACCAACCAGGGTCAAGGAGGGCCAGGGAATTGGGTTCTGGATTCTCAAGACCTTGTAGACTCCAAAGAGATGGAAAGACTGTGAAGCAGAAGAAAGAGAAACCAGAACATCCACTGGAGAACTTGGAAGAGCCAGAACAACATCGTTCATCAGAGAGATCCCTGTCATCCTCTAGCTCTGGCAAAGAGAGGGACAAGCCCCAAATTAACAATGAGCAGCATGAAAGGAAACGGTCCACTCAGGAGAGGCCCCGGAGACCTCTGCTTCCCACAGTCAGTGGTGAAGTGTTTCTGAGCACTGAATGTGGTGACTGGGAGACTAAGAATAACCATCAGACTCGAAATTGGGAAAAACAGTCTCGACACCCAGATCGACTTTCACCCAAGTCCTCACAAAAAGCAGGGCTTCACTGCAAGGAAGTTGTATATGGGAGGGACCATGGGCAAGGTGAGCACAGAAAAAGGAGACACAGGCCCAGGACTCCTCCATTCTCAGAGAGTGCAGAGAGTGAGGAGCAGCTCCACCTCCATGACCCAGGTAATAGAGGACAGTCTCGATGAAGTCCTGGTATCATGTATATAACTACAAACCAGTGAATTTAATAAGTATCTTAAGCAGCCTTCCTTTCTCTCCAGTTTGTGCTCATGACTTTGAAATAAATCCTAGAGCAACATATTGTAAAAGGTATACACTTAATCTCAGATCTGTAAGAAGAAGGAAAACATTTGTCACTTTTCCCTTCTGTGAGAATGCACTGATTCCTTGGAGAGTTATTCCAGGCCCAGGCTCTATTAGAGGTACCCATTCCAGATGTGGTTCTTCATTTACTGAGACTGTATCAGAGATTCTGACACCAAATCAAAACTCCCGAATTTCTGGTTTTACTTCAGTGAACCCAGAAGAGCTGATGAGCCTGTCTTGATAGTGTTTGTCTAACCAAAAGGCTGATAGAGCCGGAAATACTGTTATTTTTTAGGCCTCACCGTTCTCATTTGTAAAACGATGAATTGGATAGGCAGTCTTCTAAGAAAGTGTTTTTCAAATAATATGCCTCAGTTCATTTTCATCAGAATCAGCTGTCAACTAAAAATGGAAATTTCTGGGTTTCACATATATTACCATCTCTGGAGTAAGGCCTGGCAGTTTGGACATGCTTTAGACATGGAGGTGGATTCTTAGGAACTTAAAGTTTAAAGTCATTGTGTTAAGTTACTTTTTATGCTCTAACTTTCTCCAGCTCTAACTCTGCAGTTGGTGTTCTAAAGTACCAATACAGGTAAGTTATTGGTACCTATATAAGAATGAGGTAAATATTATAGATGAATCTCAAATTTCTGGCATCACTGAGGCTTAACTCTGAAGTTCATCATTGAGACAGTAATGGCTCTGTTTTCTATAAACTGCTGAGGTGGTGTTTTCCATGTGGCTGTAACACTAGGAATCATAGTACCAAGGAGCCAGTCGAGCCCTGTCTGTAGTCAGAGAACTTGTTTCTAGGTTGTGGATTCAGGTTAAGTTGGTTTTTCCTGTCATGTTATTTCTTATTAAAGGACTTGGTTATGCAGAAAATTAAAATTTAGTTCCAGAAGCCATTCTGAGTAGCTGCCGCAAATATCCTTGTCTTCGGCTTTGTGCTTGGATTTCAGCCAAAAAGATGGCTTTGTAAACAATTCCAAACTAGATACACTTTGTTAGGGAGGCACAAAGAGCTGTGGAAAAATAGAGGAAAGTGTGATATAATCTATCTTGAGTAGGTTTATGAGGAAATTACACCATTTTCAGGTTTGGAAAGACATTTTGGGATTCCAGAGGCGTGGGGGAAGTATGGAGGAAGAATGGTGATACGCTGACCTCTACGTTTCTGCTTCTGTGAATCTGACTTTCAGGAGTGCTCTGAGGGCTAGTTAGGCTTTATGGCTTTTAGTTATGCTCCAGGATATTTTAAGTAGACTTAGGAAGCATGACACTAAACACTGACTCACAGGCTCCACTACTAGAATTGCAAATGTTTTGTTTTGTTTTTTATTTTGCCACCACAAGGGATTAAAAAACCGTGTTACTAGGCAGATATTAAAATGGCTACAACATGAGCTGCTTTATTTCTATCATTTTATATTCAGCTTGCTTTTTACATTTTACCTTTCTAGCCTCTGTAGGCATTTGATTTTGTAACTTCCTGGAAAACAGGTCAGAGGATTACATTAAAATATAATTACTAGGCAGTGGCATCTATTCTTGCTGTTGTAAAAGCACAATTCTTAAAGTTGTTAGGACAAGCCAAAGTTACATTTAACTTAATAACGAAGAAACCAGTAGGATGACAAGCAGCTGGTTCTAAGAGCATTTGCGGAGCAGCATTAATAGAATCAGTTGAAAGGGAGTGCAAAATGAAATTTTAAATTAAGTATAAGATAACTATCTACAGGGCAATAGGTGTACCTAACCTTTCAGAGTTACTTCTCTGTTGGAGTATAAATTCTTAACAGCTTATCATTTTCTGCAGGTTAACTTCTCAACTCATAGGGCCATAAAATATGTGCACTTTTCTGCTGTGAATTGTTAGTCACATATACTGTGGCATTCCCTAAATGTCAGACTGGCTTATTACAAATACTCTTACATGATATCAAAAAGAATCTATCATTTTACCTTATTCCAAGCTCAGAATAAATTTATCTTGAATATCAGTACTTTAAACAATTTTATTCTGTAAATTTATTTAAGGCTGAAGTTTTGTGTTCATTTAGGGATGTTCTTGTGTTCTCCAACTGAAGGATGATGAATGGAAAAAAAACAAGGAAGTGTTAAATTAAGATATATATGGAACTTGAAAATACCACTCACCCGCTTTTTTGAAAGCTAGTTTCCAGAGTCTGTTTAGGATACTGAGATGAAGGAAGCTAGTCTGTTAATTTCCTTCATTAATTACATTAAAAAGAAATTTAGACATCTTTGTTTTCTTTACTGACGGCCTTACACTTCTCTGTGAGTTCTTTTTCTATATCCTTACAAAAATTTTTATCACCTTGGGTCCAGAGGACACTGCAGAGAATGGGCATCCTGACAATGCAGAAATTTAGTATTCCAAGCTGTGGGGATTTTCTACTTAATGAGATTTACACATTCCAATGATACATCAAGGGTTTAAATAAACCGCTTCCCCTCTAAACATTTGCGACTGAGAGATATTACCTCAGATTCTGACTCTTACTGAGTCATCATTCTCTCTTTAACTGCCAGAGGTTATAGTGTTATCACCCTGTCAAACTGAATTAGACTATTCAATGGAATATTGCCTTTGGTAGAATTTAAAACAATGTGTCTTTAATAAAATTGAAAGTGAAAAATCTTCTTGACTAATTCTGTGGTGTACTTAAGAAGGCGTAATAGTGGAGAAAATTTGGTCTCTTGAAATTTGAGCACATCCCACTGTATTATTTCCCTGGATGACAAAAGTGAAGGAGCTAGGCATGTTCCGTCATCCTTAATTAAGCTTTGGGCTGCTTATTGAAGCATCATTTTTTCTATACATTGGAACATGGTATATATAGCAGACTATTTGTCCACTGACATTGCCCAGTACTGAGTTCCATATCTAATTTCATTTTCTCTGAAATCTGCCTTCCTAGTTATGACTAAGCTAAATAACTCAGGGAGATTTATATTCTATTTCAGATGGTCCACTCTTGGGACTATGCCACTGTTTTTTTGTTGTTGTTGTTGTTGTTTTTGCTGTCCCAAACCACTCAGAAATCTACATTAAGCCCAGCCCAGCATAAGACTCAGTGGCTCTAGAGATGCTTTGAAGTGGTCTGTGTAATCAGGTTCTATTAGGTCTGAAGCTAAGAAAGCCATGTTTACTAGTCTTTGAAGGAAATACAGATGTGTATGAGTCTGTGGCTTCTGAAGCCACAGAAGCCAGGTTGAAAGTTGTACAAAGATAGGCTTCACAAAATACTTACATTCTCATCATTTGCCCAGTGTTTGCTTGTATTTTATTTTTTTTTTAATTAATAGCAAGTGAGTCAAGTGTGGTGAGGGATTTTGACAAAAAGCATTTTAATTTACAGTAATTTTAATGGATATAATACACTAAACAGGTGATGCCAATATTAATTGCTAGTAAGAATCAACTGGGGAGTTTTAAAACAAACTTACCCAAGGACAGGGCACACCCAGGGTACTTAATTTAGAATCTGTGGGGTTGGGGCAAATGTTTTTATATGTATTCAAAGCACCCTCATGTGATTTAAATATATAGCCCTGGTTGACAACCACTGGCATAAAGAGACAATCAGGAGTACATTTTCTTTGTCCTCTGAATAGTTAATTTACTGAAATGAACTGTTTCAGATGAATAATCTTGTTCACTGTGTTCAAAATTTTTATTCTAAATATAATACACTCACACTGTCGAGTAAAATTTTAAGGCCAGAATTGCTTTATAGGAATAAATTGGAATAGAACTCTGGTCATTGTGCTCTCAATATAGCTCTGATGTTGTATTTCCCTAAGATGTCACAGTGCCATCAGTCTGATCAAAGCTGTGGGGAAGATCTAAAGTGAGTGGGTTTATTTACTCTCAGAGCAAAAGCCATGGCAGGGCCACTGCTTGTCTAACAGGTATTATCATGTGACTACCAGGTGCTGCTGTTTCTGCTCCTTCTGAAGTAGTAAGTTTGCAGACTGAGATAAATAGAAGCCTCTCCTCTCCTCCAGCCTTGACAGTGTAGCCTCTTTTAAACTCTGACTCTGTAATTTGCTTGTCTTTAAATTCTTTTTGTTTTCAATGACTTTTTTTTTTCACTTTGTATTTTTCCAGGGCCTCACTTGCAGCTTCTTACATAATTTTCTGCTGTTGCAGAAACCATGTGAGAGGGGACTTTTTACCGGGCAGGCTTGGTTAGATATCTTTGTTTAAATGCCTGCATTTTCTACATTGCCACTTCCATTCCTAAGGCAAAAATATTTTTAATGCACCCCACACTGAATTCTGGAGTAGAAGTCTTATTGTCATTGTTAGCTATTAAAGAAAATGTCCTTTATCTTAAATTTCATAACTTTTCAGAAAACATCCT